TTGTAAACGAGCATTTCCATTACGAAACTGCGGGTACAAGTGCAAGTTGTTTCCGGCTTGTTCTGCGTGAAGTACGAGCCACAGATCGTCGCAAGAGAGAAATAGGGAAAGATGGCGTGCTATTTTTTAAGATGGAGAAAGATTGCGAAGCGATGGGCAGACGATGCATCGATGAAAATACATGGACAGAGATGGCGCACCGAATGAGAGAGATGGTGCACCAAGAGAGATGGATGGAGTCACAGTCTTCCCCCGAATACAACGTCCGGTCATTACAGCTGAATTCGGGTAATCTTTCAGTCTAAAGACAACTGTAATGAAAGTGCGTTGTATATTCCGGGGAAGAAGATGGATGGCGCAGGAAGGGAAAGAGCTCGCGAACTGATTGGGAGGTGTGCCGCAACGAGAGAGAGAGATTGCGCACTGATGGAGAAACATGGCGCAGCAATGGAGATAGCAGGCGCAACGATGGTTAGCGATAGCACAACAATGGAGAAAGATGGTGCACTGAAGCAGATAAATGACAATGGAGATAGATTAGGAAAGATAGCGCATTGATGGAGATAGATGACGAAGGAGATAGATTAGGAAAGATAGCGCACCGAAGGAGATGGATGACGAAGGAGATAGATTAAGAAAGATACCGCAGCGATGGGGATAGATGACGAAAGGTCGGTAGAGATCACGCATCGGTGGAGAGAGATGGAGAGAGGACGCGCAACAATGGTTAGCGATGCCTCAACGATGGAGAGAGAAGGCACAACGATGACCAAGATTTTTTATTGCACAACATCAGTTCCATTGAGTTAAACCTTCGTTAAGCATACCTGTCACCTGTTTCGTGCGATTCCACAGTGATGGGCGGCTGCACCGACGACGGTCTGAAACAACAATACAATGGCGATGGCGGGATCGCGCACGAGTAATGGAGAGCCTCTGTGGCAAGGATGGAGGTTGTCGGGTTGTTGAGAGAGATCGCGCAGTGATGGAGTGAGATGGAGAGTGATCACTCAGCGATGGAGGGAGATCGTGCGGCGATGGAGAGAGAAATCGCGCAGCGTTGCGGTGGGATAACACTGGCCAGGGCTTCGATAGCGATGGCCAGCGCTGCGGTGGAGAGCGATGGCGCAGCGGTGGAGAGCGATGGCGTGACGATGGAACGCGTTACAATGCAGCGGTAGCGATAGCGATGGCAGCGATGGAAC